ATTGGGATGGGAGTGTCAGAGACAGTGCAATTGGCACAGGACAGAGCAGAGTTTAGGGCTGTTGTACATAGGGTCGCTATGAGTCGCAGGCGACAACAACAACAACAACAACAACAACAACAACTTGATACTAGCTCTGGTGACCTAGACAACAGAGAGTTACACAGCTAACCCAAAGGCCTCATCTCTCTGGTAGTCTTAATTGGTTAGCAAATCCAAGTGAGAAAGCTGGACAATTTCCTTCTGTGCAATTTACAGCCTTGGACACCTGCTGCAGGGTCAACTGTGAGAACTGAATTAAGAGCAATGAGTTTTAACTAGCTAAATGATTTACAGAAAAGTCACTTGTAAATCTTTGTATTAGGTGACAGGTTTAATTGTAAATTGATAGACTATATAGTACAATGAACGGTAGGTTGAAGGACTACATTATAAGTCTTTGAAGCACATTAAACCATATTGCATCTAGCATCTAACTAGAAGAATAACTTCATAGGCAATAAAGAATAAATTTTGAGAAAGAAAATGTGAATCAGTCTTTTCCTTTCATAATTCATTTTCATGGAAATGCTAAAGCTAAATTACATTACCAAATTGTGATGTAAGTTGTTGCACTGTTGATTTAACTGCGTTTTTCTTTCCCTGTTATATTTGTTTATTTTGGCCCATCAGATACAGAGTTTGGCTTCTTTATGTGATATTTATTATAAAGTTAGCCTCATAAATACAACTATGTGTGTGTGGTAGAGCAATAATTATAAGAACAGCATGCCATTCAGAATAAGAATTTTGAGATTTACTATTACAGAGTTATCTTTGTTGAAAATAGATTTTTGTACATTTATTAACAATTCTTAAACAGTTGTTGTTAAGTGCCATCGAGTTGTAGACAACTCATAGTAACCCTATGAACAAAAGACCTGAATGCTTGTATAACTTTCATTGTTTTCTATGTTCTTAGAGTTTCCAGAGGCAAGTTATTTCAGAAGTGGAGGCCTCTCTTCTTTCCAAGCTTGTTTTAATTGTGGAGCTCCACCAAACACTGTCTACCATGGGTAATTATAATCACATTTGACACATCAGTGTCATAGTGTTTAGCATCACAACAACCACGAGTTACTAAATTTAATTATTTGAAGCAGGAAGGCACTAAAACTATACTCCCAACAACACATTTTCTCAATATAAGTATCCTATGTTATCTATGATAAACGCAACTTCCAAAAAACATAAAAGCCACAGCAGAGCAGAACAAAAATAACAAAAATGTGACTGCATGTTATGAGAATCACACAATTTCAAAAAGCATAAAGATACTTACTGGTTCACCTACAAGTCCCCTGTCTCCTGTGCTTCCAGGGGGTCCTGGTAAACCCTGAAAAAATAAAGAAAAAAATTTGAGGAAAAGAAATGCGTGATAACTCTTGAGCCAGTTTCCTTACAACAGTTTTTCTTCTTGCACTTGTAACTTTGTCACATATACCACTACTGTGTGTCCTTTATGTGTATTTATGTAGACATAAATTCATGACAACTCTTATGTTAGAGCACAGAACTGCCCCAGGGTTTTCTTGTCTATAATCTTTGACCTTAAGTATATCTCATATAAATTTAAAAACAACTCAGGAATAGGTTTGAGGCCTTGAACACTGATGAACAAAGACCAGATAAGCTGTGGGAAGATATCAACAATATCGTTGATGAAGAAAGCAAAAAGTCATTACAAAGAAGGAAGAAGAAAAAAACCAAATTGAATGTCAGAAGAGACTCTGAATATTTCACTATCGTGCCGAGAAGCCAAAGTAAAAGAAAGAAATCAAGAAGTTAAGGAGCTGACTAGAAGATTACAAAGGGCCACTTGGGAAGACAAGGCAAAATATTATGATGAAATGTGCAAAGAGCTGGAGTAGAAAAAATACAAAAGGCTGAACTCGCTCAACATTTCTTATGCTGAAAGAACTAAAGAATAAATTCAAGCCATGAGTGGAAATGCTTAATAATGAATGATTCAGGAGCATTAAAAGAAGACGGAAGGAGTATACAGAGTCATTGTACCAAAAATAATTGGCTGACATAAAAGAATCTCAGAAATAACATATGATCAAGAGGAAATGATGATTAAGGAGGAAATTCAGGCTGCTCTAAAGGACCTGAAATAAAAAATAAAGCACTAGGAGTTGATGGAATACCAACTGACGTATTTCAGCAAACAGATGCTGCCTTGCATGTGCTAACCAAGTTATGCCAAGAAATCTGGAGGGCAACTACCTGGCCAACTGACTGGAAGAGATCCATATTTCTTCCAATTAAAAAAAAGTGACCCAACAGAGTGTGGAAATTATCAAACAATATCACTAATATCACACACTAGCAAAATCCTGCTGAAGATTATCCAGAAATGATTGGCACATTACACCATGGCAGAGAACTACCAGAAATACAACCTAGGTTTAGAAGAGGTTGTGGCAATAGGGACATTATTGCCAATGTCAGATGGATCTTGGCAGAAAGCAGAGAGTACCAGGAGAATGTCTATCTGTGTTTTATTGACTATGGCATTTGACTGTGTGGATCACAACAAAATGTAACTAACCTTGAGAAAAAAAGAAACAAAAAACCAACCCAGAACAGTTGATCATGCTTATACAAAACCTATACATGGACCAAGAAGCACTCCTCAGAACAAAGCAAGGAAGCACTGAGTGGTTCAAAATCAGGAAGGAAGTGCATTAGGGATGCATCCTTTCCCATACATTTTCAATCTTTATGCAGAACAGATCATCCGTGAAGCAGGGCTATATGAGGGGGAGTGTGGCATTGAGGTTGGAAGAAGACTCATTACCAACCTACGATATGCAGATGGCACCACCTTGCTTAAACGGAAGACCTGAAGCACTTGCTACAAAAGGTCAAGGACTATAGTCTTCAATATGGAGAAGACATCAACATCAAGAAGACAAAGATGCTTATCACTGGGCCACCTGGGAGGGCCATGATAGATCTAGAGGAGACTGAGGTTGTTAGCAATTACAGCTTGCGTGGCTCCACAATCAACACTCTTGGCACCAGAAGTCAGGAAATCAAAAGATGAATTGCATTGGGAAAATCTGCTGTCATGGACATCTCCAGAGTGCTGAAGAGCAACGATGCCAGTCTAGATACAAAGGTGTGCATAATCTAGGCCAAGGTCTTCTTAATTACTGTTTACACCTCAGAAAGCTGGACAATGATGAAGGATGACAAAAGAATAGATATATTCAGCTGTGGTGCTGGAGAAGAGTCTTGAACATACCATGCACTGCCAAGAAAACAAATTGATCTGTCTTAGAGAGGGTGAAACCAAGTATCTCCTTGGAGGCTAGGATTTTGAAGCTCCGTCTCACATACTTTGGTCACGTGGCCAGGAGAGACCTGCCCTTGAAGAAGAACATTGTGCTCAGAAGGATAGACAGACAGTGCAGGAGAGGAGGACCTCGGATGAGATGGATTGATGGATGGATTCAGTGACTAGGGTAATGAAGGTAAGTGTGTCAGAGACAATAAGGTTGGCACAGGGCTGTTGTATATAGGGTCGCTATGGGTCACAAGCAACTTGATGGCACATAGCTACAACAACAACAATAATTTGGTGCAAAGATATTATGGTTATATCCTCTCTTTTTTCTGTGCACCCTTTAAGGATTTTTTAGTGACCTTCCTTGTCCTGTGTGATGGTTTTTATGTTGAAATCTATTTTACCAGAGATTAATATTGCTACTCCTGCTTTTTTTCCTGGTTGCCATTTCCTTGGTATGTTTTCCCCACCCTTTTATTTCTAGTCTTCCTTTATCTTTACTTTTCAGATCTGTCTCTTGTAGACAGTATATTGATGATTTATTTTATTTTTTGTTTTTATCCAATATCTTACTCTTTTTTCTTCACCAGTGCATTTAAACCATTCATATTCAGTGCAATTATTGAGAGGCAAAACTTTATTTAGTTCTTTTTGTGTTGGTGTTTGTTTCTTTGGTCCATCCTGCTTTCTGTGGCATTTCTGTAAGAAGGACTTCTCTCAGTATTTCCTGCAACTCTTGTCTTGTTCATACACACTCCCTTAGGTTCTGCTTTTCTGAGAATATCTTGATCTCTTCATTATATTTGATGAATAGTTCGCTGGATACAATGTTCTTGGTTGAAAGTTGTATTCTTTGAGTGTTTGATATATGTCATTCCACTGTCTTTTTGATTGCATAGTTTTTGCTGAAAAACCAGCATTTAATCTTATTTGATCTCCCTTATAGGTTAATCTGGTTTTTACCTACCTGCTTTCAGAATTCTTTCCTTTTTTTTTTTTTTGTTCTGGCATTTTGATTATGATATGCATTGGTGTTTTTCTTTGGGGTCTATTATATATGGAGTTCATCCAGATATATATATATTCTTTCATCCTTCATTACGCCTGGAAATTTTCTTCTAGTAAGTTTTCCACAACTTTCTCAGTGCATTTACTTGCTTCTTTCTGTTCTGGAATTCCAATTATGTGCATGTTATTCCTTTTGATGGTGTCTCACACTATTCGTAGACTTCCTTCCCTTTCTCTTTTATTCTTCTTTTTGTTTTAGCAGATCGGCACTGAGAATTCTATCTTCTAGTTCACTGGTTCCATCTTCCATCTCTTCATCTCTGCTCATATGTCCCTCCAACATGTTGACAGCATTTGAATTATTGGTTCTCATATTCTGGATTGTGGTTTCTTGTTTTTCCAAAGCCTCTAATGCCTTATTTGTTTTATCTATATTGTCTAGAATTGTTTCCCTATATTCCTCTTAGCTTTTGATTGCAGAGTCCTGTAATTCTGCTCATTTGTCTTTCATCCCCTGAAACTATTCAATCATTATTCTTTTGAATTCTGTACCAGAAAGTTCCATCAGACTTTCTGGCTTAAGGAAATCCATTGATTCTGTGTTTTAATCACTTTTTTTCGGGTGACATCTTGTTTTGGTTTTGTGTAGGGTGTGAGATAGTCTGTTTCTTCCATGTCATTGCTGTGATAGAGTTTTTCACACCTGGGGCTTTAGAAGGACCTTGGTCTGATAACCTTCACTTAGTAGTTCACTGCTTCAGATGAGGAAAGGGAAGATCACTAGGTCTCAGTTTCTCTCTGATCTTTTACCCAATGGAAGAGTTGTTTCAGTTGTGGACAGAGATGCCCTGTGAATGAGCAGTCTTCTCAGCCAGGTAACTGCCACAGCTAGGCTTGGTCCAAAGGGTCTAACTCAAGTACTGGCTCTGAGATGGACAAAGGGTACCAAGGTGCTTTTTGGAAAAGATATGGATTCACCTGTGTCTTGTCTCAACATGGTTCGGTATTCTGGGTAGTGCACTGGAAGTATCAGGCCAGTCTAGTTACTGGCAGCATTGGGCCATATGGCAGCATCTAGATTCATATTCTTCTCTAGGTTAGCCACAATTTGTTGTAATACACAGAGTCAAATGCCTTCGCACAGACAATGAAACACAGTCAATGAAACACAATTAAACAACATTCCTCTGGTGCTCTCTGCTTTCTGCCAAGATTCATCTAACATTGGCTATGATGTCCCTAGTGCCATGACCTCTTTTAAACACAGCCTGAACATCTGGCAGTTCTCTGGTGATATAGTGTTTCAGTTGTTTCTGAATATTTTTATAATTTCCATACTCTGTTGGGTGACATTTTCTTTTGGAATGGGAATAAATATAGATCTCTTTCAGTCAGTTGACCAGGCAGTTGTCCTCCAGATTCTTAACCTGGTGAGTGCATCCAGGGCAGCATCTCTGTGCTGAAATATGTCAATTGGTATCAATTTATCGGGGCCTTGCTTATTGCCATTTCCTTCAGAGCAAGTTGAACTCCCTCCTCCATCATCATTACCCCTTGATCATATGTCGTTTCATGAAATTCTTCATGTCAGCCAGTTTGTTTTGTTTTGGGTTTTGGGTTTTTTTTGTTTGTTTGAATAGTGTCTCTTTGTAGTCCTTTCATCTTCTTTTGATGCTTCCTGGGTTATTCAACATTCCGCCTTCAGCATTTTTAAGTAGAGGCTTGAATTAATTCTTCGGTTCCTTCAGCTTAAGAAATGCCGAGAGAGGTTGTCCCTTTTGATTTTATGACTCCGGGTTTTTGCACATTTTGTTATAATACTTCACTTTGTCTTCCTGAGCGGCCTTTTGAAATCTTCTGATCAACTCCTTAACTTCTCGTTTCTTCCCTTTGCTTTAGCTTCTCAGCATTGTAGTGCAATATTCAGAGTCTCTTTTGACATCCATCTTGGTCTTTTCTTCCTCTATCTTGGCAGTGACCTTTGGCTTTTTCATGAATGATATTCTTGATATCTTCCCACAGCTCATCTGGTCTTCACTCACTAGTATTCAAGTCCTCAAACCTGTTCCTGAGATGGTCTTTAAATTCTAGTGGGATAGACTCAAGGTCAAACTTTAGTTCTTGTGGATTTTATTTTATTTAGCTTCAATTTGAAGTTGCATATGAGTAGTTGATGGTCTGTTCTATAATCAACCTGGCCTATTTTTGACAGCTGATATTGAATTTCTTTAGTGATTTCTTCCAGAGATGTAGTCAATCTCATTCTTGTGTAGACGATCAGATGAGTTCCATGTGTATAGAAAAGGTGTTTGGAATGAATAGGTCAGTGATTCTATGGAATTCTATCATTCTGCCTCCAGCCTCATTTCTGTCACCAAGTCCATGCTTTCTGACTACTGATCCTTCTTCCCCATTGCCAACTTTTGCATTTCAATCTCACTTTATTTTCAAAGTATCTTGGTTGCATGTTCAATTTCTAATTGCAACATTTGGTAGAAGTCATCTGTGCCTTCCTCTTCAGCTCTAGTTGTTGGTGTATGTATTCTATTTAAATTACAGTGGTATTAACAGGTCTTCCTTGTATGCATAGGGATAGTATCCTGTCACTTACAACATTGTATTTCAAGATGGGTCTAGAAATAGTCTTGTTAACTATTGACATGACCCTATTTTTCCTCACTTTTTCATTTTCAACGTAATAGATCACACAGTTATCTGTTTCAAAATGTCCCATGACAATTCATTTCATTTTACCAGTGCCTAGTATATACATATTTATGTGTCCCATTTCTTCCTTAACGATCTTCAGTTTCCATACAGTCAAAATTCTCACATTCTACATTCCAGTCAGTAATGTCTGTTTGCAATTGTTCCTCCTTTTTATTCCCAGTAAGAAGGTTCTACCTCTGGTACCATATCTACTAGTCTACTCTAAGCGTGTTCTATTGTATATAGGATTTTCTGAGGCCCATTTTTCTCGAAGTGGATGGCCAATCCTTCTCTCTAGTCTGTCTTAATTTGTGTGGTATAGAGAAATGGTAATACTCTATAATTTATATTCATGTAACAGAAACCCAGATGATAAAATTTTAATACTGGGGAAAGGTACTGAGAATAAATTCTGTTACTAATACACAACCACATGTAAGTTTTTTTCCCTGGGCACATTCATATTTCTTATATCTCTGATATTTTAGGTTTTACTATTGATTCAGATCTGCGGTCCATAGGGTTATTCTGAGTCCTAGTCAACTTGACAGCACCTAACATATAATGCAATTGTGGGAAATAACAGGCAGGGGGCAGCAGATTCCAAAATGGAATCTAGTAAATCAAGCAAATGTAGTCATTACCGACAAAT